ATGAGCTCTGTCCTTTAATGAAGATTACTGTTCAGGGGAGAGAGCAGACATTAATCAGATAATCACTCAGTGCATGAAAAATCATAACTGTGGTGAGGGTTATGAAGGAAGGGTATGAGGAGGTGGTGGTAAGAAAGCATACAGCAGGCGGACTTAGCCTGGGAGTGGAGCAAAGACCACAGATGTCTCCCCTGATGGAGATGTTAGTAATCTGAAGGATGAGTTGGTGCATCAGCCAGGGTCCCTGCGGGAGAGAGATGGAACACATGACGGGGTGTTTCAGGAGAGTTTAATAACAAGACTATTTGCAAAGATGTGGGCACAGTTAAGGGAACCATCAAGGCATGGTGACGCACCCTGGCACTAGCAAGAATGGGGACTTATTACAACACCTATGCTTAAAGGTGGTTACTGGCAACCTGAGGAAATAGTCATAGCTGTATGAGATAGAAGCCCAATGAGAGCTGTGACTTTTGATGGAGGGAACACAAACAAACTGTGGAGACTGAGGGACGAGGACGCTAGGAGAATAAATCTTCTGACCTCACTCTCTTCACTCCCTCTGACCTCCTGTTGTCATTTCTCTTGACTGATCCCAAGTAGACTTCAATGGCAAGGAGACACACTGGTGTGGCCCACGTATCAAGCTCCTGACAAAGAGCAGGTTGGAGAAGAGCAGAGAGTAAATCTGGAGGAGCAAATACAAAATATCCAACACAAGGGGTAATTAGTAGGTAAAAAAAAAAAAAAAAAAAAAAAAGGATTACCTTAGACTGATGCCATACAGTGTGCAGTGGGCCGCACCCCGGGCAAAGGGGGCAGCATGAGCTGAGGCCCTGGCACAGGAATGAGCATGGAACCTTCCAAGAAGACCTGTGCCATGGCAGAAGGGTTTGGAAGAAGGCTACCTCAGACTGTGTTCAGATCACAGTTAAGGAGGAAAGATGAAGATCATGGAGGAAGATGGAGTGGAAAGAATCAGATCTATGACATGACTTGGAGGCCAAGCAATAATATGCCAGAATGCAGAGGACAAGAAAGGTGGAGTGGGTCAGTTCAGGAGATAAATCTTGAATAAAGCAGGGGCATCCTGAGCTCTCCTTCTCTGGGTGCTGGCTTCTGATGTGAGAGCACTCCTAGAGTCCAAAGGGCTGACAACAGTCGTAAGTCTTTCCAGAGATATTTCAAGGTGATATTGGAATTAGGAGACTGCTGTTTGGGTCACCCCATTCAGTTGTTTAGTTAATAAATATTAAGGGTTTTTATGTTTCCCATTGTGCTAGCTGGGTGCTGGGAGCTGGGAGAGAAAGGATGTGATTTCTGTCTTCAGGAAGCTCCCAGGCTAAGCAGGGAAGATAAGCATGTAAAAAAATACTTGGAATATGCTGTGAGTCCTATTAGAGAGCTACAGACAAGGCACCAGAGAGCTCAGCCTAAGCTGATGGGGGGAGTCAGGGAATGCATCCCTGAGATGTGATGTCTGATCTAGGTCTCGAAGGGTGGATTTCCAAGGTAGAAAAATGACAGGAGGGAATGTCACCCAAGGGAAATGTATTGGTCAGTGTATGCCACCTGTAAACAAATAATCCCTAAGTCTCCATGGTTTACCATATAAATTTTATTTCTTACTCATGCTATGTCCAGTGTGTTCTGAGTGGATCTTCTCAAAGCAATGAGGCAGAGATTCAGGCTGAATCCTGAAAATCACTGCAAAAGGAGCAAAGGGTGTAGGGTGGGTGTGCTGGACTCTAACCATCTTGGCCTAGAGGGGACACTCATTATTCCCTCACATTCCATTGGCCAGACCTCGTCCCACAGGCCCACGTAGATACAAGAGGGCAGGACAACGTAATCTTGGCTTGGCAGCTGCTTTCCAACTAGTCCACTGTAAGAGAGCACAGACTTCGGTAGACTGTTAGCCACCACTACCATGGGGAGCTGCACATGAGGGAGCACAGAATCATGGAAAGGGACATAATTCCTGTGCCTAGCGTGTGTGGGAAAGAACGGAGAGGAATGTATAAGAGGCCAGAAAGGCCAGTTGTTGCTGGATTGCTCAGGACTGAGGACAGCACACCAAAGAGACCTCCTTCATCTGCGCGGAACCATCAGAGGTACGATATGATCAGATTTGCACCTCTTCACAGTCTACCCTTTTCTCTCATCTTTTCCTGCAGGAAAAGAGGCCCATCATGGTGTGGAGAGTAAAGCTCTGGATTCTCACCCCAGCTCTGCCACTTTCCAGCCGTGTTACCTTCGGCTGGCTACTCACTGTCTATGAGCCTCAGTTTCCTTACAATAAAATGGGCACAAAACTATGTACTGTCTAATCCAGGGAGGATGAAGATGAAATAGATAGTATCAGGGGAACATCCTTTGCAAACTATAAACTGTTTTACAGATGCAAGGGGATTGCACTACTCTCTATTGCCTCTGCCTGAGGAAAGATATTTTCTCCCAGGGTTTGAGAGTACAACAGAATGTCTGCCAGCTTCCTCAGGTATACCCAGTTCTGTGATGCCCTGCCAATGGCAGAATAAAAAATGGACTCAATATATTCTCTTGTAAAGACAAAGAAATACAATTAGAAGCAGCCCCAGGGCTTCCTGAGGTGCTGTGTGGGAAAGTGTAATGGAATTATCTGTGTTAATGTCCTCTCTTCTCCGATAGTCTTGGAAACTCCAGCTTTCTGCTGAGGCAGTATATTTCCATTAGAATCTAAATATTTGCTTTGCCTGTTAGTTTTTTACCATAGAATTCATCCTTGTACCTGCACAGCTTTGTTTCCAAAGTTGCCTGGCTTACATAGACAAAGCAAAATGTCCCTCTCTCTCCTCACCCTCTCTTCTCAGTCACATGACTGAAAATTCACTTGTTAAGTTTTTTAGTATACACATAAGTGAGAAGCAGATGGAATTATCTAGACAGTGCTAGCAAAAGATCTGATTATTTTCCAAGGCCTATAATCTGTTTTGAAATAGCCAAACAATTAAGGTTATTCTGGCTTGTGTATTTTAAAGATTGCCTCAGCTTGTAATTTTTTTACTTCTGTAGCTATGTTCTGGGTCTATTAAAGTATCTTCCTAGCAGATGGGCCAGTTTGGCAAAAGCTTAACCACATCAGGCTTCCTTCTATCTCTGCCCTTTTCTTTCTCCCCATTCCCTTTCTCCTGTCTCTCTCCTGATAGTAAGACATTTCTTTGCATTTTAGTCTGTAGGACCAAGAGAACTGAAAAACACCCCTCTAAGTAAGGTATGATTCATGCCACCCTAATAAATTCGAAGAAAAGCTCCATTTACATATTTCTAGGGCTCCTTTTACCAGATCATCCAGGAGCAATTTCCATGGACTCTTAACTTTGTATCCATATTTTCAGCTGAACTTGGAATCTAGGGTGTTGTATCTTTAATTGAAGAAGGTTCTAGAAAAGTTCTTCTGAATACGGTGCATCTTTCTTTGGGGCCACGGATTGCACTCTCCCACTTTACGGCCTCCACTCCCTAAACAGCAGTCAGGAGTGTTCTTGCAACAGACCATGGCCACGTGAAGATGATGTCTTTCCCGGACAGGATGAAGAGAAGAGAATATTGGTATTTCTAAAAGTATAGACAGGCTGACAGCCAATTTTGGAGTCTGGGTGACATTTTAAATTGGTAATGCTCCTAATTACCCAAACCCTAGGAAACCATATGGAGTACAGCCACAGCTCTAGAATTAATATAAGTGAGCACTGTGAACCCATTACTAACAGCATGTTCTCCTAGAATAATGGCACAGTATCTGTGTCAGCACAGTGTGATATTGCGGTTAAAACACACACAGAGAGATGCAAAACCTCTTGGTATTTTCTACCTCTTAGAAAAATTTTCCTGCTATTAAAATTTTTTTTTAATTTTTCTAAATTTTCCGACAAAAAACACTGCTCTGTTTCCTTGCCAAATATTACCTATTGGTATTGCTATGTTGAAATGTCAGTTTTATTGAGGATAAGTGTAAGTAAGCAAGTGTGGTAATATGGAACATGAGCTTGGAAGGCAGAAATGTTCAGATTCAACTCTTAGTTTCCCTACGTATTGCTAGGCGAACCTGGGCTAGTGTTCAATGTCTCTGATTTTCATCTATTAAGTGGACATAATAATGCCATTTACTCAGATGGTTATTATGAAGATTCAAAGCCAAATAAAATGTGTTGATTAAAGCTAGTGCCCCAAAATGCTAAGAATAAAAGTCACCAATGAAATAGAAATACAGTAACCTGAAATTTCAATGATCAGACTGAGATTCAGGCCTCGGCTTCAGCAGTGTTTGGGGAGAGGGACCCAGTACGTACCATCCACCCCTTACCTCTCAGTACACAGGCTCACGTGTCAGCCCCTTTGTGCCAGTGAATGGCAGTTTTCTTGATTTAAGTTCCAGGTCTGAATATGGAGAAGGGAAGAAACATTTCATGTCCACTAACACCCTACTCTCCATGGAAACCTCCCCAATTTTGTGGAGGGGGCCTGGTAAAAAAAAAAGCACATACTTCACTTTTGGATTTTTCAAGACTTTATCTTCAATTATTTCTAAACGTGTGTAGATGGTTCCAAAAATTATTTGAGACAGTTGTCATTTTGTTCATGCTGATAGATTTGGTGGAGCAAGCTCATTCATGACACTTTGCTTTTCTTGTCCCTAAGCATCCTGAAAGCAATCCATGTCACAAAGAAAGTATAATAATAATAGCAATGATTTGACGAATACCAATTATGTGCCAAGTGCTTTGCATACATTTCGTATTATTTAATCCCACAGCCAGCCTTAAACAGTGGTTATTATTAACCCCATTTAACATGTGAGAAAAATGGTCTCATGGAGATCATTAACTTTGTCAAGGTAAGATCACTTGGAAATACCAAAGCCAGTACTTTAATTAAGTCTGACCAAATGCTCAACGCTGGCCTTATGCCAACAGCCAAGCACCTGATTGTTCCTCCTTTTTTGTCTCGTTTCCTTCCAGGTTGTTCTAGATGTCGGTTGTGGATCAGCAATACTGTCATTTTTTGCTGTACAGGCTGGAGCTAGGAGAATTTATGCAGATGAAGCCAGTTCGGTCGCACAATATGCTGAGGTAAGTGGTTGTATTTTTGAGGCAGCTACTAATTAGGTCTTCAGTATATTTCAGGGTATCTAGTGATGAACCCTTCCAGATAGGTTACTTAAAATAATTTTTTTTTACCAGTCTCTGATTTTTCCTATTGAAAAGTTACTGCTGATAGAGCCCAGCTTCTCAGTAGTGATTGATACAAAACAATTATTTTTTTAAAATTTCACTGATACTGAAAATAGAGCAAAACTTTCTTCCTTCCCATCAACTCTGTGGCAGGTGGGGCTGCTAGGTTTGGGGGAGATGAATGTTATCTTAGTTTTAATGACTTACCAGGTGAGGAGTAAGATTTCACTGGAGCTGGATTTATTTTTTTCTTCTTAAGTGCCGTACTAACAATAGCTGCACCTCTCACCTTAAATTTTACTCCTGGTTTAAGGGACTGCTTGGTGCATGGCTGTAGTTGGAGGAAGAGACAGGTGTCTGTTTTAAGGATCTTTTTCAGATTTCAGGTTCTGACTGGAGAACAGGGAGATGCTTCGTTTTAAATACAGTGCTCTATTATCATTATGAAACGCATACGAATATTAGAAAATAAGTCAAAATCAAGAGTCAGGTAATAATGGCTTTCAGTAATACTTGAATATAATAATAACACAATCAAGCTGCAGAGATTGAATGTGTGTGCATGTGCGTGAACAGGGTAAGGTGCTTGTCATTCATACCTGGAAAGGCCTGAATTTTAATGAGGAATAGATGACAGAGAGCAAAAGCTTGCTTGGCTTGCTGCTTCAGATGAGCATCATGAAAATTTCCTCCATCCCTGGACAACTGGTAGTTCTGAGTGAGGGTTTTGAGTGAGCGAGCAAAGGAAGATGAAGAGAGGAGCAGACAAGTGCATACGGCACGTTTGTGGGGAAAGCCTGCCAGGGCGTCATGACTGGGAGATTGTTACGCTCTCTTTTCTTCTTCCAACAAGTTCTAAAAAATATTTTCAGTCATTTGCTTCTCCTCCAATTTTTATAAGTCATTTTTATTAAATATTAGTGACACACAAAGGAATATTTGTAAAATGTGTACAGTGTAAAGAATAACAGTATGATGTGTTTCCTGCCCCTTTTAAGAAGTAGGCCATTGTCATTTCCTTTAAAAGTCCATGTTCCTTGTCCTAATTACATCTCCTTTCTGCCCTGAACGTCTGCAACCTTGAATTTTTATCATTCTCCTATTCTTTATAGTTTTACCACATATGTTTCTATCCCTAAAAACAAATCACTTACAAACTTTCCATAAATGCAATCATAATGTATGGATTCTCTTGTAATTTGCTTTTTTTACCCAACACTACGTTCCTGAGAGTCATTTTTGTTTTCACATACAGTTGTTGTTTATATATGTTCGGTGCTGTATGGAGTCCCATCATATGAGAGGTCTCCAGTCGTAGGCCCACAGCACTGCTGGCAGACTTGGATGGCCTCCATTCTACAAGTATTATTATAAATTTCATTACACACTGTCCCCGTTGCATCTTTGGTAGAGTTTCTTGAGAAACAATTACTAGAAGAGGAATTGTTGGGTCATAGGACATGCATACGTTCAACTTTGCTATATAACACCAAATGTTTTCCAAAGTGGTTGTACCAATTTTCACTCCCTCCAGCAGTGAATGAGAAAGCTATTGTTCTACGTCTCTGTCAGCACTTTGATAGTGTCAGACTTTGAAATTTTTGCCAATCTGGTGTTTATGATATGATATTTTTGGTTTTAATTTGTGTTTTCTGCTCACTAATGACTTTAAGCATATTTGCAAGTATTTTGGCTGTTTGTGCTTTCTTGTCTGTAAAACACCTGTTCAAGTTTTTTTTACAATATTTCTTTTGAATTGTTTTACAATTTTTCTTTTGGATTAGAATCTAATTCTAATTCATCTGTAAAAATAAATTTATATTCTAGATATTAAGCCTACGTCAGTTATGCACGTGGGAAATACCTTCTCACAATTTGGTACATTTTCTCTTTCCTAATAGTCCTAGTGAATTTTAAATATGGAATTCTAAAAAATAATATGGAAGAGAATATAACCTTATAGAGAGAACCCCATAGATAATATCTCTTCTTAGATACTAGTAAATCTTAAAACGCATTCTTAAGGATGAGGAGTTTAGAGCTTTGTCTCATTCATTTACTTATGTCTTCATTGAATTATCTCTTACTATTCTGTTCTTGGGCAATGTAGGAGAAACAGTAATGGTTAAGGTCTATTCCCATAGTCAAAAAGCTTCTCTTCTGATAAGGGATTGATTCTGTTGTATCATATCACAGACCAAAAAGCAAACAAAAAAAAAGAGTGGCATAAAATAATTTAGGAGTTTTCTTTTCTTCATGTAGTTTGTTTTCTCATCTATTTTAAAGTAGTTTGGGATATATTAGATAGCTATTTTTTAAACCTTAAAAATCTAATATCTTTTGTTGCAATATTTTAAGGAAAAAAGAGGAAGAAAGTAGCCAGAGGTATCCTTGCATTCCCTAGGCATAATCCTGTCTTCAACCGCAGCATAAACTCAACAGTCGCCAGCACACCATGGGAGGAGACATTCTAGCACTGTCCGTGTGATTGGCTTCTTCGAGATCATTCTCATCTTGGTTAAACACATCAGCAGGTGTGTTGCCTTCTCACAGGGTGGCCTCTCCTCACTGACACTTCTGCTCAGAGTGTGGCTGCTATAGAATGACAGTGCCAGGGCCTCTAGCAGGAAGCCAACACAAAACAGAAGAGGGAGAAAACAAAATTTTAAAACTTTTTATTTGGAAATCATTTCAAATGTATGGATAAGTTGCAAAAATAAAAATAGTTCAAAGACTATCATATTCCCTTTACCTGGATTTGCTTACTGTTTACATTTTACTCCATTAGCTTTATCATTTGTTCTCACTCACTGTACACACACACGAACATGTGTACACATGTGTATGCACACGTATATGTACATAAATATATATGTAGATATAGAGAGATAAATACACACACATGCACTATTTTCTATGGGTCAGTTATATACATCATAGCCCTTTATCCTTAAACATTTTAGTGTGTATTTCCTTAGAATGGGGTTATTCTCTTACATAATCCAAAGAATAACTTAATTTAAAAGTTAAAAAAAAAAAAAAGAAACAAAACTGTACAATGACTTGTCCATTGAGTCTTTCAATGTTAGTGATAAAAGGTATTAGGGGAAGCCCCAGCATGAGTGGAGAGACTGTCACCATGGGTGACATACTTCACTGCCTCTTGTCTTGCATGGTATTTCCAGGGAGACCTGATTTTTAAATCATTAAAACCAGTGTTCTAATGAATTCTGAAGCACCATAGTTTTATTTTATCTTTGGTTTTAGCGTCTGTGAGGATGTTTGTGTTGCAATCATCTTTTTTGCTGTGTGCTACTGGAGAACACTGGGGGCAGGAGTAGCTTTCCAATGCTGTCAGGAATGCTGGAAATCCTTGCAATTCTTGCTGACAATTCAGTTGTGCCCCCAAGGCCTTCCCTGCATGTGGTCCTGAGGACGGGCTGGTTAAAAATGTATTCAGGGCCAAGGATGATTAGAATCTCCACAAAGTGTGAATTTAACAACAGCTTGGTGCCTTCTGATGAAAAACATAGCCTTCAACGTGCCCATCTCTCCTGCGTGGATGTCTGAGATGCTCCCATGGGCCAAGCCCTTTTTACCTTATGGAGGACGATCTGTACCAGCTCGTGGTCTCTTCTTCTGACATCAACACTCATCTGTACAGTTTGTGGGTGGCAAAATGCGATTGTGAACAGCACACAAAAGATTTCCCATCTTAGAATAGGCTGCTGTAGCAGCTCAGCTCCCTGTGCGTGCTGCTCCTTTCGACCTTTTCATTATCTGGTAATTGAACCAGCAGACATTTAATCCTTTCCTCTGGAGTCTTCATTAAATTGCTTGAAAAAGATAAAATTGCAACAAGAAAGAAAAATGTACAAATTTAACTACCATTGCCTGTCTCTGGATTCTTCTTCACACAACAGGCTTCTGGGCTTTAAGTAAACAGAATATTTTGAAATTGCATTGAATTCAATTTTAGTTGCACTTAGTGGTTTGGTCTGATTTTGTAAGTGTGGGTCCTCTGCAGGCAACATGATGTGAACAACTCTTGTCTAGGGGGTGTGCATGTTGAGTCATTTTTTGCAGGCATGGTCATGAACTAGCCAAGGTGAAGCAACACACTCACCCTGGGCCCCATATGACATTTCTGGGTTCACAGTAAGAGACCATCCCTGTTTAAGGCAAAGGTCAGGACTATAGGTCTTCCATGGGTCTCCAACCTGTGAGCCTTCCCACCTCAAGCTGCCAACTATCTCTTGCTCTTTTTCTTTTCTTTTATGATGGTACATCAAAAAGTTCATGGAAAGATTTGTATTATCTTTCAATTCTATTTTCTACAAACTTTTTGAAGTACTCTCTTATGTGAAGCTGAGGCCCCCAGATCATACAGACCAAATTGAAAAAAAAAAATCTTTAACCAAAAATATACATGTATATAGTCAAGGAGGGGGGTATTCTTTAATTCAAAGTTGTATGCAGACACATGTCATGTCTCTCCACCGTGATGATAAACCCCTGGAAAGGCCAGCAGGATAATAGACTATTAAGGTGAGCTGTCATAACTAGATTTATGTGTTGTAATCGATTTAAACTTACAGCAAAGTTCCCTGGCCCTCAGACTTAACAATGTTCATAATCACTGTTGGGCCACTTAATAATTAGACTCTACTAGTACACAATTCCTATAATATATGCCTTGTTAGAGATTTGTATACAGGAAATTTAGTGGGGAGGGCTCTCAGGAACGTCACCTGCAGGGAAGTGAAGGAAGCAGGATAGGATTGGGCAGAGGGAGGAGTTAAGCTACACCACTGTCATTCTAAAAGGCTCGGCCAATCCCACAGGGAGTTCTTGAGCTGCGGTGGCCCTTCAGAGTCGAGCCACCTTGAGGCAGGGGA